TTCACTTCTCAATAGCTTTCAACTGATGGCCGAGCTTTCAACTTTCAATAACTACAACACAGCAACTTATTCAGTAATTACAATACAACAACTTTCACTTCTCAATAGCTTTCAACTGATGGTCGAGCTTCCAAATCTTGGACGTCATTGTGGCGCAAAGCTAAGCAATCAACTAGGTTGGTATTCTCATTCACCATTAGTTCTTTCCCATGGCATCAGTGCTGCTTACCTATTGTTTATAAGTCGCTACCGTATTACTTCAACACGACACCATGTTTGTAATTGCATAGTAAATATTTTTCTGCGTATCCTTCACTAGTTTGTAATTCCAGCAAAACTGTTTGTCCTGCTGATCATATGCAACGCTTCATTTAGATTTTCGTCCTATTCGATGTGATGCATGTTCGGGAACATTTTGGTGAGTTTATCTAACTGTACTTCAGCTTTTTAAATTATTATCGTGATCTCTCGTCTGCTACCCGACTTCTAACCTTACTTCAGCTTGTCGCATTTCACTTACGAAGGTCATGGTTGCAAAAATGCTTACAAGAAGGTAAGTAGAGTTTCAAGATTTAAATTAGTATTTTGAAGATTATACGCCACAGATACATCTCTTTAAACTGCGTTGTAACTATCATTTTCGTTTCCACGTCCCATTATCATCATATTTATGAGGTTTTCTAGAAAGTGCAAGTACCGATCTGTCCCCTCTGTGATAAACCTGTGCCTACGCCAAAAGTAGTTTCTCCAGATGTCCAGGTGAGGGCAAAAGGAGACGACTCAATAATTCAAAATTCGTACGCGTACTAGTAATATATAATACAAGCCATGACATTGGATTAGTTATTTGTCGCTTCAGCTTGTTTCCATCACGTGTCCTTCTTGCCATCAGAATTACTGCCTTGGTCATCGCCACGAGAAAGATCACAATTGTGGACAAGCCAGAGGCAGTCCTGCTCTTTCAAAGGCTGCGTAAGCATACGTTCAGGTGAAGTAGGCATGAGATATCACTAAGTGTTTTGTTCGCCTGTATTTATGTTTTGTATTCGTTTAGGAAATCTCCGAGGACGAGGACTTTGGCAAGAGCATTAGCAGAATCTATGGATGAAGTCTCCATAAGTCCCGAAGAGCGAGATAGGAGGTCGGCGGAACAGTTGCAGGCGCAGGAGTATGGGTTAGTCGTCACTTATGATGTGTAAATTAGTGTTCACATGTGGTATGTAATCGATACCAGTACTGTGGCATAGATTGCAATTGATGCTTCAGGAATAACCCAGTTAGACGCTGAAGCACACGAGCCGTCTCTGGCAATACAAATAAGCTGCTCTATATCCTGATCTCCTTACAAAGTATTCCTTTTCATGTTCTTTTTTTGCCCTTCACTTCAGGACGGGTGGCAGCTTGAGTCTTATTTCACGGCTAGTGTCAGAAATATCACCTCGATTTTCCAAGACCAAATTCAAGTTTTTCCCCTTATAATCGCACGGTTATTTGCATGAAAATGTTCACGTGTATAAATAATTATGAATTCAGTTATTCGTTGTGATTGTTTACTAGTTCACGGATAGAATGTTGTGATCAATAGATTCTCTTCCACTGTAACTCTTATAGAGTTAGATTTTTGAATATTTTCTGTTTTTTTTTTGAAATCGTTTTCATTCCTACTAATCGACATTTGATGATGACGTGATACAGCTTGGGTGAGACGTCTTCCGCTCTTTCAAATATTTTCTGCTCTTTCCTTTCCTTTCCGCTGGTCGGAATATCATCAACACATCGCATTGTTGACAATTTTGATTCAGTATTCTTTCTGACGGAACTGTCACTATTTTTTGCATACCTCGATTGACAACGTTTTACGTTCGCTGCACTACACTCGTTCTATTGTTGCTATGTTCGTAGTATAAAGATTGGCGAAATTTCAACGACAAAAGAGCGTTCATTTTCTTTCTTTGTTTTATAACATAGTTCAAGTAGTAAACATGTTGCATCGCAACAATTGCATCATCAAAGATGGCTTTCTGGGAGCGGCATGCAGCGGCATCATTTCCATGATGTTACGATAGTGCGTGGCAAGGAATGTTCAGTGGTTACAGTGCTGTGAATTCGAGTGAACCTATTTATTCTCTCTGAACAAGTATTGGCCTCATGATACCAGTATTCTCAAATGACGTGAGATCGATAAAAGGTTATGAACATACAACGAATCAGTAACACATAACAACTTTTAAGATTTTTACGTGAGTCACGGAATCTCCGGTGATCTTGTCAAACGGCTAAAACAGGTTTTCCATGCTAGTTTTCTTGATCAGCTATCTCTTCAGAGCCCTGGCTGTTGTAAGTTGTTTTTTGCCGCCTTTCGCGTCTGACTTGCTTTCTCTGAAAAACAAAACTCAATTGGTGACTGTATTAGGGCAAGTTTTGGGAAGCCATGAACTCACGGTTTTATATGGAACAATCGATTTGGGTTTAGGAGTTTTTCCTTGTGACTGGACGACTGTTCTCCTTGCGGGGCCTTCAAAACTAACCCCCGTGGTGGACAACACACGATCTATCCGCTTGCTCAATCGTAATTCGGAGCTCCTTAAGTGCGCCTGCGAGACCTTCCCGAAGGCACCTACGTGCGATCTCGTCAAGATGAGATTCCGCCTGAAAAACAGTTGCTGCTAAATTCTGAAAATGAAAATGAAGTGGAAATGTATGCAACTTGTAGAGCTCACTCCTTTTAACTTCTGGTATTCCACATTCGTTTCGTCTTGCTGTGAAATCTCCTGGAGTACTTCAACTGAAGTTTCACATGGTATCGACTGTCCGCCCATATCCTCTGTGCCGAGATCACATGTCTCCTCTACGTCCACAATGACAGCCGAAGTTTGCGAAACTGTTTCATGGCTGGATGAATGAGGATGCTGTACGGATCGGCAGAAGTTGTCGAGCTGGAAAAATGCAAATCTGCAAATCCCCAGTGAATTTGACTAATA